TGAAATAAAGCTGATGAATAGAGAAAATCCCTTTGCCAGTTAGAATTAAAAGAAAGAAACTCTACAGCATCTTTTATGTCAGATATATTTGAGCTGACATAGAGACAGCAATATTCTTAATCTTAAAGCAGTAATATAAAAATAACTGAAATACTTTAAACTGACTCCACACTTTACAGTACACAAGTCACCCGGCGTAATGTAGAGCAATAAAAAAGGAGGACAGAGGGAAAGAATAAAGATGTGCAGCTAAATGCTTGTAAATTAGTGCCAAATGCCAGGTCATTCAAAAACACAAGTTCATGTCCACTTAATACACTTGTATGCGTCTTATATTGTGTGATATATTTCAGTGACTTTTAAGTTTTTCAAGAAGAAATTTTGTTTGGTTAAAGCAGTGCAGACTCATTTTGTGATTTGGTCTGATCCTGTGTTTTTGTGCTAATCATGAGTGAAACTTTATCCACAATCAGTCCCAAATTTTAGCTCTTGTCTTCGGGACAGCTTCCATACTAGATGAGTGTCGTGGACAAATTTAAGTGCTCTGCTGCACTAAAAAATTACTCATGTAAAATATTTTAGTTTTTATATTTGGTCGCAAAATTTAAAAACCAGAAAAATAGAAACACTGTCAGAAATACTCAGTAACGACATCATCTACACTCGATCTGTGCATATGCACATAGATTAAATGACTTAAAAAAGTTTAAACTTACATCTGGTTAGTTCTCTCCTTGATGTCTTTCCTCAGTGTGTTCGTAAAGACTGCTGTCAAAAGAAGGTTGTATGTGACACTAACACAGAGATCTTGTTTGCCAAAGGTCAACATTTGAATATTAACATATTCCAGCAGAATGATCCAGTCTATATTTCGAGGATGAAATGGGGATTTTATGTAATGCTGTGGAAACAGAAATATAACACTGCACTGTTGAACATTGAATGAGCAAGAGCAGGAACAGGAAAAAAAATGTAAAACTATAAATAAATCTTTCCCATTTATGGTTTCAAAATGTTCCAGGTTAACTTCATCATACAATATTCAGTGACTGTTAGTTTTCTGTTAATTGCTGAGACACGGGGACACAATGAAGGTAAGAAGAGTAAATATTAAACATGACTGAACTGAAAACTGAAAACAAAACAGATAAAACTAACTCTCCCTTAGAGCACAGAAATCATAGATTCAACAATGAAATATAGCAATGATCCACAATGAAATGCAGAGACATCAAGGACAGTTCACATAAATTCCCCAATTTCATCAAATACATCAGGTTTAGAAAGTTCTCT